TGATATGGCTAGAAAAAAAGGTAGAAGCAAAAACAATGACTCATATTGTTTCTTCACTTTTCTGCCCCCATTAGAGTTGTTCTCCAGGTTAGTAGGGGAATGAAAAAGCAGGTTATTTTAATGGCACCTCAGTATAAAGCCAATTCTCTAACCACCATATTAAACATTAAACAGCTTTGCATCTTTAATGCATACTTTCCTTTTTGAAGACAGAATCAACAGTTGTGTGGCCATATGTAAGTGTTTTTGTGGTGTCCAATGAGCAACTGCAAAAAAATATTCAGGAAGTAGCAAGGGAGAAAATATACAATTAAAAAATATGACCAAAACAAATTAAAAACAAAGAAAGCAACACTTGTTCCCTACTGGCAGGAAGCACATCCTCAAAATTAAAATAAAAAATCAAGTCAGGAAATGAGGATGCTAAAATGTCATGTGTAAGAAACTACAAATAACAACACATCTTTGAAAACACTGTCATTTAACCTCCACTAGATTTGCCAGTCTCTCAAAATGACACCTCAGCTCATTGTCAGGTGTCTTAGTACTTAAGCCACCAACCAACAGAGTCTACATTGGTATGGTCTCAATCTTGTCAGCCTCTGTGGGGATCCCTCTGGATCCAGGGTGTACACATCCAGTCACAGGGCATTGCTCATGCAGCACTCTCCAGGTGGTGCTGAAATACACCTGAAAGTAGTCCTTTTTGAAGAACTAGAATCTCCTCCCTCCTCCCTGTCCCAAATGTCCTTCACCATAAATTTTAAGCAGGCACAGAAAAAGGTAAAACAGAAAATTATACAGAAAATGGCAGCCTCTGGCCCCATAAGCTGAATCTACTTGCTCCTATGTGACTAAGCAAGTTTTCATTCCCTCTCTCCTCATCAGGAGGAGGGAATGTGTGCACTTGATCTTCCCCAAGCAAATGTTGTGCTTCATCTTAAGATTCCCTGAGGAACAAACATAAGAGAACATTGTGGTCCATTTCAGGTCCAACCACGCACTGCACTGCCCTGTGCTGCAGCAGAGGAGGTCCCTCAGTGCACTCTGGAGCTTCTCTGATGGTGTTTCATGGGTACTTCTGTGCAGCAGTGTGTGAGTGCATCCAAAACACCAACATCACCAGGCTGTGTGTGCCTACAGACCTTTTCTAGTCAACAGAGCAGCGCTGATTTGCAACTGGGCAAGCACACATTTTCAAAATGCGCTCAGCTCTACAGAGACCAGAATTTCATTTTCCTTAGTGCCCTACCTCAGGAAACAGACAGAGTAAAGCACAGCCCAGCCACTTTGGCAACTTTCAAGTCTCTGCACTGTACACTAGGACCCTCACTTCCTCTCGTTTTATACAGTGAATCTTCTCCAAATCCTGCAGGAAGCCTACTTGGTCCCAAAGGGCCAGCTTCCACCCCCAATCATCCTGTGTGCACTAGCAGGGATTGACTCCTGAAGGAAGATGGTGGGATTCTGACTTACACAGTGGCTTTTCTCACCTATTAAAATCCCAAAGCAGATACAAGGGCACGAGGTAAAATCCTGACATGCAGTTGAAGTGTAATGTGTGAAGCAGCAAGATGAGGGGCTTTGATGTCCTGGCAATATACCCTGAAGCTTTCATGAGACCTTTCTGCCCTTGCAGTCAGAGATGCTTTGGCACACGGATGTGAAGCCACGATGCTACCAGGATTCATTCATTCATTTGTGTGAACATGGGTATAAAACCCCGGAACTCTCCAAACATCTTATCAAGGAGAAGATCAAGCACCGCGTACCCCAGAAATCCACACCACCGGCCACCGAGAGAAGGCAGGTCCTACGTCTGGGAGAGCAGGACAGGGTATCGGCGAGGATGTCATTCCCCAGATTCCCAAATTCAGCCCGGCTCCGAGGTCTCGGACACACGGACCCTTCCCTCCCTCCCCCTTACCTGAGCCGCCCACGTTGGACCGCAGCAGGCAGGTCCTCCGGGAGGAGGAGAAGGAGGAGATGTCGCTTTGGGAGCGGCCGCGGGGACCGGGCAGGGACCAGACGGGCAGCGGGGCCGTCCCGCTGCTCCCCGGCCTCTCAGCCATCGTCGACGGGCAGCCGAGAAGGGCAGCGAGGAGAGAAGAGGACGGAGAGAGGCGGCGAGGGAGGGGACAGGGAAAGTTTGCAGAGGAAGAGCCGCCCCTCTCCTCCGACCGCCCCGCCGGGACGCCGGCGGCGATTTTGGGTCTCTGGGAACATAAATTTTGTGTTTGCACAGGGGCAAAGCAAAGTGGGGGGCTGGGTGCGCGGATGCACCCATCCCCCAGGGTGTCTTCATGCTCCCGCCATTGCCATCTCTCGGGAGAAAAAAACCGGAAAAAAGAGAAAAGAGAATCAGTTAAAAAGATCCGAGTAACCCACACCGCCACTTCTGTTTTGTGTAACACGGTGCGCTCTCCCCCGCAAAGCCGGAAAGTTGCACAAGGCACCGCATCCCTGCGAAAGAGCCGCGAGAGAGACGAGTCAAATATCCTCCCCAACCCATCACCTCCCTCCCCATCTTTCTTAAGGATTGGGTTGCATGTCAGAGACTTAACTAACTTCGGCAGGAAGGCACTGCCTTTCAGATCAGCCACACAGACCTAGGCAGAAGCAAAATCAAGCTTCATGGTTTCGTTTCCTGGTGTTTTACAGAAACCCTTTTACAATAAGATGCACCTTTAAAAGGAAATTTTATGCTCACTCTGCTCCTTACAGGCAAGTCATATTGCATTGTACCTTGAATAAAATCCTCGCTGCTGTGCAGCCACAATGACAAACACAGAAAAGACTGCACCCTATGTTTTTAATTCATCCAGAGCTGCATTATCTAGTTATCCAATGTGAAAGTTGCATTCAGGTTGCATTTGAACAACTACTACTCTCCAGGTCTGAATCAAAACCTATCAAGTGTGAAATTTGTCCACGTAAAATTCAGTTTCTGGTTTCTGCTTCCACCCAGGCAGGCGAGTGCCCTCATCTCAATGCCGAGCCCGCGCAGCTCCCCAGGCGCAGGGGTTTTGTGATCTTCCAGCCGTCACCCTCCGCATTTGTCGAAGCAATTGATCCGGCACAGGAGTCTCGTATGTCAGCCATTAGTCATGTCGAAAGGTCTTTTCTGCTCAGCTTCCCTCAGGGGATTGCCTTCATTATTTCCTCTCCTTGTTCCCTCTGCTGACAGGCCAGCCTGCTCCTTCCCCAGCCGCAGAGCTTTCCCAGCGGGACTGTGCTGGGAGAGGCACGGGCTTCCCGCAGGGCACGGCAGTGAGCTCCGCGCTCACAGCCCCCCTCACGGGCCCAGAGGCTCCCTGGTCACACGGGCAGGAACCTTGTACCCATGCTTAGAGAGCTTTCTGCAGCTGTGCACGCCAGCCCCGTGTTATTTACAAAATCTGACAATGTGCTATTTTTATTATTTACCCTTTGCAGCTTGCATCATTACAAATGTGATTGTACACCAAAGACCTTTTTACCCAACAGGGATTTCTGTACCTCGGCGTGTGTGGGCTGGTGACATTTTCTAGACCTCTTTATGCCTTAATCAAAAGTGTACTCATCACTGCTGTTTACTGAAATGTTTGCCACTTTCCTTTTACCTTCCTTTTTTTCTTTAAGAGGTGTGTTCAAGTTTAATATTGAAATATACAGTCCCTGCTCCAAACCTCACCAAAGTTTATGGCAGGTCAGCTAGCTTTGGGTCAGACTCTGACTTTTTTTAACATCATTTTTTCTTCCAAACATTTTGTGCTACAGAGCAATTGTAACTTTGTCATGTTGTACAGAATGTATGCTTCAAAATTCCCACATTAAGGAGCTGCTCAGTGTCTGCAATCCTTAGGTGCAATCAAAAGGGAGAACATGAAGAAATCGAAAGATAAACTAGAAAAGATACCATACAAGAGGTCAAAGGCATCTAAAGATTCCTTTTGAGAAGCAAAGTGACACCTAAAGGGGTGAAGCAAAAAGAAGACATAAAGTAGGTCAATGGTGAATGTAAAAGAGGTATGAAGAGGCTCCTGTTGTAATATCAAAGTGCTTTGGTAAATCAGAGTAATGTGAACAGTCAGAAAGAATAATGTGCTGGAAATCACAATGTTTTTATCTGCCTGTAACTTATTATCTTAATCAAGGTATAGAAATGAAAAAATTACAAAATCATGTACATCTTGTTTCCACAGCCCTTTAAATATTTTTTGAATTAGATGGAACAGCTGTGGTTAATGGCTCTGGAAACTAAAGCTCTACTTCCATAGAACAGCAGTAAAGTATATGTCCTTCCCAGTTGGAGAGAGATTAATTCAGTTGCCTGAATTAATTTCATTCATTTTTGACTGTTCTGATGAGATCGCCAAAGAAATTTCTATTTGTGGTGCTGATTGTGAAAAGTTAGTATTTGCTGATTAAACCAAATTATTTCACAAAGTCTATCCCACGGCATCTGGGGGTGAAGTAAAACCTCAAAAATCGGGCATCAGGAAAGACCGGAGAAGCACCAGGGTGGGCAACAAATTGATGGAAGATGTATCTTTTAAAGTACGTGCCTGCTACCCGTGATCTGCAGCACAAACGCCGAGTGTCATCTACTGAACCGAGGCAGCTTCCGCACAGGCCATGCTAATGATGGAAGAGAGAAATGTTTCCTGACAGGCTTTGGGCCACCTCTCTGCCCGGGAAGCCTCCACGTTCAAGTCGGCTGGACGGAGCTGCAGAGCGATGTTGCACCCGAGCCTGCGGTCGGAAGCAGGCGGGAAGGGCAGGCCCAGCAGGTGCCGAGGCCACCGCCGGAGCGGAGCGGACGCAGATTCAAGGCCCGGGCCCGGCTCCGGCCGCAGATCCAGCGGACACCGTCAGGCCGCTCTGGGGGGAGGAGCCGGCGGGGCGGGGGAAAGCACGGCGGGATGCCGGCCGAGGCATCAGCCAGTTACTTCAATTTCTTTAAATCCCTAAAATCCAGGGGGCAGTTTGTGCTCCAGCAGCCAGATAGAGCGGCTCCGATGGGGAAGAGCGCCCGGGCGGCGGGCGGGCCGGGGGAGGAGCGAAGGGGCTGCGGGGACCGCCCTGCCCGTGTCCCGCTTCTTTCCCCTTCCCTTCCCCAGCCCGGCCCGGCCCGGCCCGGCCGAGCAGCGCCGCGAGGTCCGGCCCCGCCGCCGCCATGTCGGGCCCGGGCGGGCGCGCCGCGCTGGCGCTGCTGCTGCTGCTGCTGCTGGGGCTGCCGCAGGCCCGGCCCCGCTACGAGCCCACCTGGGGCTCGCTGGACGCCCGGCCGCTGCCCGCCTGGTTTGACGAGGCGAAGTTCGGCGTCTTCATCCACTGGGGCGTGTTCTCGGTGCCCAGCTTCGGCAGCGAGTGGTTCTGGTGAGCTGCAGCCAGAGCGCTCCGGTCGCACCGGAACCGCCGCGGCGGACGGGCCGCGCCGGCGGGCCCAGGGCTCTGCTTGGGAAGCAGCGCTCGGGGCAGGCGGGGATGGTGTGGTGGTCCCCCGGACAGCGGAGGTTTGGGTTGGAGGCCCTCTGCAGGCTGACCCTGGAGCTCAGGTGTGTGGGAAGAGCTCTGTGCGCACCCGAGTCACGGACTCCATGGCGCAGTTTGCAGAGGAGGTGGAGTTGGAGGTGCCTCTGGTGTGTCTGAGCGCCTGTCTGCCCAGCCCCAACACTCCCGAATAGCCCCGCTGAAGTGACTAAATCAAGCAGAGAGCTGGTAGAGCTGAGAGAAGGGCCTTGCAGCACAACAGTGCTGGGGAGAAGTGGTTGGTGAAGTGGCCAAAAGGGCCCTCTCCAGGACCGCCATGAAGGGATGGACAAAGGGGGTCTCCCTTGTGGGGACAGGTGTTTGGGATGTGCCAGCCTCTGGAGCAGCCTTGTGCACCTGTTGGAGCTCTGTGGGGAGCACAGAGCCCATCACTACCCTTACCTGGCAAGCAGCCTTGCTGTGTTCTTGTGCACATTCTGTGCTGCTTATGGTTTTCTTTTCTTTTTTTTTTTTTTTTACTGTTATTACTTTTATTTAAGAGTGCTTTGCACTTAAGACAACCTAAAACTCTGATCCTTCAGATAACTTTAGTTCAGAGGCTCAATGAAATCTTTGTACCATGAGTGTTCACAGGTTCAAGCCCCTTAGCTGTAAGCATGCTTTTGCTGTCACCTTTCCATGCTCTACCAGGTACTTCCTGTGAGACTGCAAGTGACACACATTATTATTTCCAATAAGAAGATAAGGGTAGCTTTATGGCAGAGCTGTGGGGAACCTTAATTACTATATTTGCAAAACAAACCAACATGTATCTAATCAAACCGATGTTTTCTGACACCTGTTCTTTTCAGAATTAGGGTCAAGTGTTTCAGCAGATTTTTAATGCAGACTACATTTACTTATAAATTACTTTTAGAGAGCTGTGACAGAACTAGGTTTGGGTTCAAGCCTCACTCAGAGTGCTGCACTCTGATAGTGGTGTACAGGCTCAGGATGGAGCATTTGGTTTTTGGCCCCAAAACTTGAATTGTTTTTTATATTCCTGTATTCTCCTATTCCATGGCAGGTGTGTGTCTAGAGCTGCTTCAGGGCCTTCTGACAGCTTGTGCAGTCAGATGACTGAGGTCCTGCATTAGCAGCATCAAATAGAAGGTCACAAATTGTTATCACCCATCCTGTGTGCCTTTCCTCAGTGCTCCACAGCCTTGGTAAGGGTGTTTCTAGAATCTAATCCTGTCAGCATGGAAGTGTTCGTGTCAGCAAACCATGTGACTATGGGAGAGAAGCAAGGTTGTTACTTTTTAATTTAAGAAATTACATACTTTGAAATCAGAGGGTTTTTTTGGTTCTATTTTTAAAAATTTGTTTTGCTTTATTGTTATTATTTCCTCTTCCCCTGGCTCTTTCAATGAGGAAAGCTGTCTCAGCCTCTTTCTTCTAAGTTTTTTTCCCCTGTTGGTTGCCAGAGATTGTGTTGGTTTATGCTGAAGTGTTTTTGGGAAGGTTACAACAATATTCACACTGTGATCTCAGAGAACTGAGGTCAGAGTCCAGCTCAGGACAGGAGAGAGAAATTAATTTCAAACATTCAAATTCTGGCCTGTTTTATTCCTTCACTTTACAATCTATTTTCATATAAGTCTAAATTTGACAAGAGGATTTTTGCTGCTTGGTTTCATTGATAGAAAGGTGACAGAGGGACATTTGTAAGTGTGGGGTGTTCTTGCAGGGGCAGGTTTTGGATGCAGGATGTGCTTTCTTCTGGCAGGGTGGCTTTGCTTGCAGGCCTCAGGTGTGCAGAGTCTGCAGTGACCTGGTCTCAGCTCTGTCTGGCCCTGGGGCTGGGGACCTTGGGTCACTCAGCTGCAGTTGTGTAGAGGGCTCGGGACTGTCAGAGAGGTAAAGCTGACGATCCCCATATTTGTGGGTGATAGGGATTGCAATGTTGGGGGCTGAGCAGAGATGCCTGATGGCTGAGGTGTGAGACTTGTGGAGGTGAGACATGCAAGTCCAGGAAAAATGCATTTCTTGTGCCACCTGAGCTTCTTACACAGACTGTCTGTGGTCTCTAGTACAGTTTTGAGATTTGGGTATTGGCCAGCACTGTAATTTTTCCATTCTCAAAGTGTAGCTGCTTTTTTCATTGCTTCAAATGAAATCCTGAGACCTTTCCAAAGCGGAGTACAAAGATGTAGAACATGGACAAATAAGATAGAAAAAATGAAATCTTTGCTAATCAATACTCTTCTGGAGCAATTTCATCTTATTGCCAGTGTCATGTACCTCCAATGCCTCTACCTGTCAGTGTTGAAAGGTGCTGATCATTTAAATTCTCTTTTCTTTGTCAAAAAATACATCAGCAGACATGCTTTGTTCTGTATTTTGTAGGTGGTACTGGCAGAAGGAAAAGAGAGAGCCCTATGTGAAATTTATGGATGCAAATTACCCACCTGGCTTCAGCTATGAAGATTTTGGTCCTCTGTTTACAGCAGAATTCTTTGATCCCAACCAGTGGGCAGATATTCTGAAGGCTTCAGGAGCAAAATACGTTGTCTTAACTTCAAAACATCATGAGGGTAAGTGGAAGCTTTGTGAATGTTAGTAATTGCTGCATTTCTGTCAACAGATTAAAAAACACTTGATTTTTTTACCTTCTAAGAGACAGAGAAAGCCAGGCAGGCTTACCTGCCCCACCACAGTCAAAGAGGAAACAAAAATCCCCCAAGAGATGTGCAGGTGTTTTCCTGACCTTTACACAAAAGCTGTGGCCATGGAGTTTGCACAGGAGGAGCAGTAGATTGTGCCACTGTTCTCTTGCTGTAGGCAAGACAGCCTGAAGTGGTGGTGGCAGCTGAGCTTCCTGCAGTGGCCACAGTTTATTTTTTATTTCTGTGCAGTTTATTGCTGAAGGAACCATAAAAGTGAATTCTGCATTGTTTAATATTTGGAGAGCTGCTGTGAGCAGGCAGTTAGCAAACTCCCTTGGTTTCTCCAAGGAATTTAGGAACATGTTGTAGGAGTCAAACTTCAGATTTAGGAAGGTATAGCTCTTCCTGATGTAGTGAACAGAAGCCAAAACCTTGAACCAATTCTAGCTTTTCAGGCACTATTTTTTTTAGCATTGTAATTGTAAGGTACTTTGCAGAGAAAAGTAAAGAAAAAGACGGCTTCTGGAAGGAACTACACTAGCAAAGAAAGTATAAAATATTAAGATATTCTACAATACATCTAATGAATGTTGTTCATCTTTTTGAGATGTGGGTTCAAGGCTGGAAACTTGTGAAGTGTCAATTTTAATCTCAGCTCTGACACACATAATTCTGATCTTGAATGTCACTTGTGGTGAAATTCCCAGTGACTTCAAAAAAAAAAAGATTCATTTAGTCTGTCCAATAGCCTTGTGCATGAATTTTTAAGTTGTTTAATCCATACAATTGCATGTATCCAGTTCACAGAAATAGCACAAGATTGATCAGACAGTGAGTATAAAGGGGTTAGAAGGTGAGAGGGGAGCTCCTCTGGCAGTGGTCTGAGTCTGCAGTGCAGTAGTATTTGTAGGTGGTTGTGCTGGACTGATGGATGTCTTGAAAGGTCAAATCCCTTCTGATATTTAATCTTGACGTTTTAACAGCTGTTTCAGGAGTTTTTGCTCTCTCATACATGTACAGAGTAGCTGATTGAGCTGTTATAAATATCAAGGCAAATAAAAAGTGAACATTTGCATAAGATGGAAACAGAAAAGAGAACAGTCTTTGAATAGCTTGGGCTTTCTGCAGCTGAGAAACAATTCTATCTTTCACTTGCTGATTGTGTATTTACAGTTCACATTTGATGTAGATGCCTCAAAAGCTGCTGTATTTTTGGGTAATTTCAGAGTTGTAGAGTTAGAAAATGCATTGTGTTGGAAGGGGCCTTAAAAGTAATCTAGTTCATTTAATTGGCACATATGAATAGACTGAATAATTAAAGAGAAGGAATAATTATCCTAAGCAGTACAGAACTGGAAAATATAAATGTATATGCATACTTCTAAAAATATATGGTGTTCTGATATTAAAACTACTACCATTGTGCATAAACAGGTTATAGGCACACCTTATACCATAACAACAATATTATTACAGATAGAATTTTTATTATTTTATTTTTTGCAACACTTCCAACCACTTTCCAGAAAGAACTGTAATGTCCGCGCTTCTTCTTTTCTTTCTTATCCTCTGATTTTTCTCTTTTTAGGTTTTACTTTGTGGGGGTCCAAATATTCTTGGAACTGGAATGCTGTTGATGTGGGACCAAAGCGAGATCTTATTGCTGAACTAGCAACATCTGTTAGAAACAGGACTGACTTGCATTTTGGGTTATACCATTCCCTGTTTGAATGGTTCAATCCTCTCTTCCTTGAGGATGCCACCAATGCCTTTAACACAAGCAAGTTTCCCACCAGCAAATCATTACCAGAACTCTATGAAATTGTGACCAAGTACCAGCCAGAAATAATTTGGTCTGATGGGGATGGAAATGCTCCAGATACTTACTGGAACAGCACTGGTTTCTTGGCTTGGCTCTATAATGACAGGTACCTAATGATGCTGGTTTAGCTCCTTATCTGAAATTCTGCTGTCTAGTTTGTTTCATTTTCTGTTTGTTTTTTTGGAACCTGCTACTTCTGCTTAAGAGGACTTTACAAAACTCTCCTGAAATACAGAATCCAGATCTTTCCTAGAACTATCAAAGCTGGCATTAGAAAAAGACTGTTTTGTATTTTTAAAACACATTTGCAAATTAATAATTTAAGATAGTATTGGCTATTCTGCTTAATCACAGTCTTCCCTAAGTATTTGCTGTTGCACAGAAACACAGGATAGCAGGACAATTTGAGAATATGGGTACATTGTTGTCATCACAGGCTGAACATCTGGCAGTGGATATGAAGTGCAGAGGGATTTCTGGCAGAGCTCCTGTTAAAGTCTGGAACTTATTTCCCTAAGAAATTCTGATCTGGACCTTTTATTAGCAAAGCATGAGAATAGAATCCCTGACATTGCACTTAATCTTATTGTAATAAATTAATAGTACAGAAGTCATCCAAAATGTTAGTTCCTGGGAGGGATGTGTGTGGGAAGGGATTACACTGGCTGTGACCGCGTTTCATGGAATAAAAATAATAAAACTCCTCTGTTCCCAGCCCGGTGCGGGACACAGTGGTGACCAATGACCGCTGGGGAGCGGGCAGCATCTGTGCCCATGGCGGCTTCTACACGTGCAGCGACCGCTACAACCCCGGGCGCCTCCTGCCCCGCAAGTGGGAGAACTGCATGACCATCGACCGCGGCTCCTGGGGCTACCGCCGGGACGCGCGGCTGCGGGACTACCTCCCCATCGAGGACTTGGTCAAGGTACAGGGCCACAGCAGCTGCTGCCACTCCCCGTTCACTCTCCTGATTGTTGTATTGTGCTGTTTAACATATCGATTGTGTATCTGGTTTTATGAATAAGATGATTTTAATTCAATAGGGAATCCATGAAACAATAAATAATTTTGTTAATTTCCAGCCTTAATGCTGGCAGGATGGAAAACCCATGTAATTCTTAACCTTTCTCTTAGTTGTTTCTACAGAATGAATTTCTAGTAGAAATTCAGTCAGTTTCTTAGAAGCTGTTTTCCCTGTGAGTAACTGGCCAAGGACTGCTCTGGACAGTCTCATAATTACATTTTTGTCTAAGTTTCTCTGGTAACTGCATAGGCAAGCTTTTGGGAAGCAAAGAGTTTCAGTTTCACAGGTCCTGTTTAGGAACTCCTGCTGGAAGGCTACATCTTTTCCCCTTTCTACAGATAGAAACAGTTTATGACTCAGCAGTAGTTTTACTTTGTAGAGAGAAACTTTCCTTACAGAACATACAGAAAAACACTACCAAAAGCAGACTGCTGATGTTGTTAAAACATTGATTCTCTTACAAGGCTGAGGTATTAAAAAAGATCTGAAGCTTAGGAAAACTGAATGAAAGGAAGACTGATCTGTCTTCCAGAATAATGCATTCAGTTGCAAACTTCAGCTAGTAAGGGAAAGATTGTTACTGTTGCTTAATATTGTTGCTGTTTCTAGTGCGTCCTCACAAAAGACAATTTGAAATTGAAGTTTCCTCTTTTCAGAGGCAGAAGGTTTGAATTAATTCAGCAGCATGTGTGCAGCTGTCTGTTTCTCAGACTTATGCATCTCAGTCCATGATCTCTGGAGGGCAGTGTGGATGTGAACACAAATTTTGTAGGCTTTGTAGGAGGCTTCCTTGTGTTTTACAGATGTTTCTATAAAATAGGAAAAGCATCAAACAGGAGGAAGTGGCTTTTCTAAAATTCAATAAAGATGAAGTAGCGACTATTCACCTTATTCTACTCTGGTGCAGAGAAGTCATCTGTCCTATTGGTAAAAGCCTCAATATATTCTTGCAGAAGTTGAAATGATAAAGAGTTGCAGGATCTGATTCTAATGTAGATTCAGGCAGACATATTGGTACAAGAAGGTATTTGGAGCTGGTTTTGGATGTAAAAATTGACAGTAGAGCTTTGTTTTATGAGAGCTTAAGTTTTGTATTAACTTTTGGGATGAACCCCTAAGTCTCAGCGTGCAGCAGTAGCATAACTCGTGTGGTTTATCATTCTGAAGCAGTACAGCAGACTTTAAAAAGTACTGCAAATATGTGATTTCATTACTCATAACCATGTGCTCTGTGTGTTTAAAAACACTTCAGCAACTTGTAGAAACAGTGTCTTGTGGAGGAAACCTCCTGATGAATATTGGGCCCACCCACGACGGTCGCATTGCTGTTGTGTTTGAGGAGCGCCTGAGGCAGGTGGGCTCTTGGCTGGAGGTCAATGGAGAGGCCATCTATGGAACAATGCCATGGAGAGCACAGAACGACACTGTCACACCTGGAGTCTGGTAAGTCTACTGAGCTAAAATGCAGGCTCTGGAAAGCAGCACCATAGTTATGTGAAGCTTTGAAATCCCTAAGGACTTGACACTACAGAAATCACCATCTTAGTTTGTATGTGGTGAAGGAATTAATGCCTTTGTTAGTGTAAGCAACTGCATCTAAAACGTTGTATAAAGCTGTAGGTAGAGACTAGTTTTGAAATGATGCTGAGGCTGAAAGGAAAGCTGCAAGCATTCCTATGGTCATCTTTTGCTTCTTGGTGTAGGCTAATCTATTAGGTAATTCTGTTTGCTTCTAGTGGGCAACAGAAATGAAAAAAAATCTGGAAATACAAGATTGTTATGAAGTGTTTATCTGAACAAAGGAATACTCAATGTCACTTGGTGTTCAGAAAGTGGGAAGATAACAGCAATTATTTGGTTGCTAAATTACAGTCAGTCTCTGGCCTCCCCTCTGCCCTTGTTACTTGTAGCTTCTCTAACATCTTCATGATCCGTCAGGGTTTTGGTCTTGGCCTTCTTGTCTCAGTGGATGTTTTTATTCCCATTCCCAGCAAGATCTGGCCATCTGGCTTTAGCCTGGAGATGCTCAACTGTTGACTGTTAAGTAAAATCCCTTTCAAGAGCAATAAAAAACTGTAACTAAATAGGAAGGAGGGAGGAATGTTTCAGGGGTATGCCACAAGAATTCCAACGGCACAGTGATGAAAATAGTATTTTTAAAAACTAGCTACGCAAAGTGGAAACTCCGTTGCCCATACTATTTTTAAATTCTTTTAGTCTGCATGTTAGTGTATAGATGGGAGTTACCATGTCTTTCTGAATATAACCTACAGTTATCTGTTAATGATTCCCCATCCTGCAAGTATCTCTTTCCTTCCTATGGCTGAGTTGATACAGTGTGCTAAAGTTACAACAGATGTTCACCTCTGAATTCAGTTCTTTATAGTTTTCATTACCTCTAGTATGTTGAAACAAATTTTCAAGGAACAGTACATTATTAAAGGGCCAGGTGGTTATGTGTGCGAAAATGTAATAAACCCTGACCTTTCTAATCCATTTTTCCAGTCTTGAAAGCACTCTTATTTATCACTTCTAAAGATTTCCAGGGAAAAGCTGACAATGCCTTTTTGGTCTCCATTTCCAACCAGGTACACTTTCACCCCTAAAGAAGGGAAAGTCAATGCTATCTTCCTTAACTGGCCAGTCTCTGGGATTCTGGAACTTGGTGAGCCACGGGCTAAGCCTGGAGAAACACAGGTAAAAGAGAGTCCCTCCCCTCCTTCTAGGATTTGTCATGTTCCATCTTGTTTATTAAAGTTTCTGGCATCTTTGGGAATGCATAGCTCTTGGGACAAAGTACTTTGGAAGAGACCCAGCCAAATGTTTGTTTTCTTTCTGGGACCTCCTTGTCATAGTCCTCTCAGTGGGATGTTTCTTAGACTGAGATGTCGCTGGGATATGTTTTAGCTTGCAAACTAAGAATCACAAAGAGGCCAAGGAGCAGGGGAAAAAACTGGGCCACCCCTCCTGTTTCCTGTGTAGACTCCTAACTCAGCATAAAGATGGCTTTTCTTTAGAAGCAGCTGTCCTCATGACTTTGGTGATACTGGAGTTGCTGTAGTGGTGCAGCTTTAGAAGTCAACGCCTTGCAGGAAGGGGATGTACACAGAGGTTTTTGTTGCCCAGGGAGGCTGAAGAGCAATCAGTGTTACCCTAGACGTGCATCTTATACCAAGTGGAGGTCAGTGATGCCACATGTACACTGGCAAGTAGCAAGTAACCCAATGGAAGCAGAAGTTGGTATCAACTCTGTGCATTTAAGGGAGATTCACTTTGGTTTAGCTCTGCTCAGGTCTCATGCACTGCATGTCTGTTAGCTGCTGAAATGCATTAGGAGTGTTTCTGGACTGCCCCTTCTGGTCTAGTTCCATATGAAAGTAGTCTGACTGGTGCCAAGACAGCTCTGTGATAGGGGAGAAAGAGTAATTTCAGAAGTGATGGAGATGCCTCTGGAATTTTAGGGGGCAGGTAGACTCTATGTGCACTAGAAAGTACTATTCCTCAGCAGAGAGACTGGTCTGCAGCCACTCCAGCAGGTCACCAGCTGGTGTAAGTGACAGCTTACCTATCAGCAAATCAACCTATTTGTGGTTCTTAGCTTTCTCTGAGATACCTGGCTGCCCTCTGTAAGAAACAGTCATGCTCTTTCAAGACTACAAGTTTCACCATGGGAAGCAGGCAGTTTGGAAACAGGGAATGCAAAGCTCTGTACTGTGGCAGCTAGATCTCTGCTTAGACCTAAATCCTACTCCAAATGCTTCCAAAAGATATCTATTCACTTTCTACAGCCCTAAGTCCTTCTCAAGACCCAACATGAGTAGCTTTTTTACTTGCATATCTACTTGCAAATGTTTTCCCATTACCTTTAATAATTATCACTCATTTGGTTAGTAAGTGGCATTTTTAGGATACTTGGTGAGTAAGGTAGCTATGGATCAATAATTACTTTGTCAATATTGCACTTATATGTACTTTGAGAAGGCACTGTTCTAACTATAGTGTGTGTTTCTATTTCAGGTGAAGCTGGCTGGATACAGGGAACTGCTGAAATGGGTTGCCCTGGGAGAAAAGGGAATGGTTATTGCTCTACCTCAATTGACTCCTCAGCAAATGCCATGTCAGTGGGGCTGGACCTTACAACTGACTGATGTAGACTGAGCCATACTCTGCTGGAGCCCTGGCTAGCAGGGAGTGCTGATGCTTTGCTCTTTCTTATCACTGGTTTTAAACTTGATTGACTGAGAAAGACCAATAAATTCACTTTTTCTATGAAAGGTGGGATGTTATGAAAGGATGGAATGGAACAAACCTCACAAAGTCTAGCACTAGATAATTGATCCTCTGCACACAGTTTGTTTCTCTGAACTTGTGTGAAATACTGAGCAGCTACCTGTACACTTGGTTTAGTCAGTTTCTGGCCAAGTTATGTGAAGAATGAGGAAGGGGGAAACTGACACTAGACTTTCAGAGACAAAAGGACTAATGCTCAAGCTGGTGTTCAAATGCACATAACTCAGTTGTACACCCTCTTTAATGCAAGAAATTTACCTTCCACAAAAGTGCACAGTAAAATCTGACAGTTTTGGAGAAAAAATATTCTTTTCCCAGGTGTGTTTAGCTAGTGGTAGCTGGCAGTTTCAGCTGAATAGGGTAATGTCTGCAAGAACAGGCCTGTAAGGGTTAGAAATTAATCATAAATGCATACAGGCAATGCATATGTACTTCTCAGTATGGAAGTCATTAACTTTACATGTTCCTGTTCTTGAGTAACTCCATCCATTATTGGCACACAGGTGAACTGGGAGAGGGTTGGGTTTTTTATATTTTGAATGATTTTACATGGATAAAACTTGTCTCTTGCTTACCCCCACAGTTACCAGGGTGCCTTCTGTGGACTATTAAACAAAATATATACTTCAGCGACTAATTCTTGAAAAAGAGAAATAATCAGGAGTTGCTAAGGATCGTCAACTCTGGCAAAGAGACAACATTTTAAGCAGAGAGTAGACTGCATCCAACTTGAAAAATTTCCAAACTCATCATGTGTCATGATTTGTAGGGATAGACATACAAGGTGAAACTTGCAAAGAGGAGGAGATAAAGGACAACAAAAAGCATGAATTATTTCTGTTTCAATGTAAAGACTGAAGATTTATTTTCCCTGAGTAGTGTTTGTGAGTGCAAATTAAGTACTATATAAGTTAAATTTATTCTTTCAACTATGCCAGGATTTTGAGTTGATTGGCCAGTCAGGTTATTCTCTTTCCTAGTAACGTTAATACACACACACATTGTACATTAAAATATTTTATTACAATACAGACAATTGGGCTCAAAATTAATACAAATTAAGATAAAATATTTACAAGATAATGTGTACAGTGTAGCTGTTTGAACAGCATAAACAAGAGTATGTCTAAAAAAACCACATTCCTTTAGTATTAAGTAACAGAGAGAGCAGACCCCCAGCTTGTTCAAGGGGAACATGCATCCATTGGCAAAGGCTTTCTGAAGAATGAGAGACTTTGGAACAAGATTTGTAAAGTTAAGGGAAAAAAGATTTACTTTATAGAAAGAAAAATCTGGGGGAAGAAGAAGAAAAAAAGCATTACTTCATTCTGCTGCTCTGTGCTATTCTTAGATCACTATCATTAGTTCTTCCCCAAACTTACACACCCCAGGCAAAAAAATGGTTTTTTAGTAACTTGCTGTAATACTGCCACCAGATGCCTTTTAGATGCAATAAAAAATAATCCAATGAATTACAGAAGAGTTTAACCACTTTTTAAATAGAAAAGTCTTCATTTATCATGTTTCTTTCAACAAGAATATTTTTAATGGGTGAAGTGTAATTCAGTTAGAAGAAAATGTGGGCTCACTCCCACTTTCCTCAGAGTGCTCTTTCTGCTGGTCTGCCACTCCTACACCATTATAAAATTAACCCAAGTCTCATCAGTAGTCACCAGGGATTTGTTAGAAATACACCATCCATTTGTAAAAATGTGCAGGTCATTTCTCTAGTTGCTGAGGGGTACTAAAAGCTTCATAAACGTTAGCAGCAAAATCTTTCACTTGTTCCATCATCAATAGGTCCTGGAAGAAATGTATAAAATAAACTTCCTTAATCAAACACATTCCCCACTATTCTGCCTGTACTGCAGTACAGAATTCCTAAGAAAAGCACCTGGCACTCCCACAGGCACAACTCAAACTTCTTGCTTTAGGAGCAGACCTGCAAGTAGAACCAAGGCCAGAAGTCTGTGGTTCTGTGCAGTTCAGCAGAAGAAAGTTTTAGAAAAACAGTGTATTTTTGGAAGATACAAATTGACAAAAAGTTTGTTATGGCAGCTGTTTTCAATTTATTTGTTTAAGTCACTGAAATTGAACAATTATTAAGAATAAATACACAACATTAATTTCAAGATTTTACTTGGGATACTGTAAATAAGGCAGATTCTTACCTGAACAAAGTGACTGGGTGTTTCACTGCATACTGAATGGATCTGTCCATTTATTATTGGAATTATCTTGGCTAAAGGAAGACTGACACTGGAAAGACTAGGAAAGAACAAAAAATACTGACCTGCTCAGACACAGATGAAGCCACTAAACAGTGATTATATAATTAAGTAATTACACTTAAAAAGTAAGAATTGAAAGACTGCAAACTAAAATGTATGGATGAAGGGATTTTTCTCCATAAGGTTTTCCTTTAATATAGAGAAGTACCAATTGAATTCCAGTCCACATTCCTATTACAGTTTCCCACTTCCTTCTCATGCAAGAGTATTATGGTTTAGTCAGAGTCTTTGCATGTATGTAAGTAGACAGTTCATGGAAGTGCCTGTCTACAATTTCACACAATTTCAAACTAAACCAGACTTAGGCAGATAGCCAAACTACAGACTTTGGGGTATTTTAAGTGATGTAAATAGTATATATTTAAATTAAAACATAACTTTCTGAAAGCCAAGTTACTACAATAAACATACATAAACCCAGTTATCATTCCAGGTTTTAATTTTAATATTTGAGAAGGATTATTTCAAGGATTTGTAATGCTCTCACCACATTGCTTAAAACTCAAGTTAGCTTCAGATTAAAAGCTATTTTTAGACATTCTTCTAGGAGGATGTAGAAAATCCTACGTTACTGCATTTTGTCTGCATACCAGTGAAACCCAAAGCTCCATGGCAGCTTTGGCTCCCTGTCACTGGATGATCAGGGCACTGCCCACCCCTTTCCTTGGGAGCCACAGGAACTGATGGAGGCTGGGGTGCTTGGAGCTCCAAAGGGGAGGGAGGAAGGGCTCTCCTTCTCCCAGCCTCACTGGGCACATCTGTCAGGAGTCACCAGCACAAGGAGAATCCTCCCCAGCCCAAAGACAGCCTGCCTGTAGCCAGGCAAGACGTGGGCACAGGTCATCTGATCTCTGCTTCTAGGTGTGCAAGTAATGGTGGGAAAGATTGTCACCTAATTCTAGTGATTTCATGGGTGGGAGGAACATGAATCCTCCTAGCTGCCTACTTGGCCAAAGTGAGGAGAACCCAGTGATCTTTGAAGAGCAAGAAGCATCTTCAAAGATGTAAAACAATATTTCCAGCACAAGAACTCCAAGAAGGCAGGAAAATCAAGAGCCTTTTTGGAATTCACTATGAAGCCAAAGCATTACTGACATGAGAACCACAACAAAAGAAAATATTTACCTATTTACAGAGCTGTTTTGAGAAAGGTCCTTTTCAGTAGGTCTAAAAAATTCTGCCATATTGTCCAGCAGCCGACTGAATCCTCTATTTAAACATGTGCTCAAAACTGTACTGAAGTCTGGACTGAGAAGAAGGAATAATACAAAAAAGATTTTATTCCTGGGTTTAAATTTTTTCAAACTAAAATGCCCTGCAAGTGTTCAGTGCTATAGGTGTACCTCCCCTCACAGGTGATGTGTGAGCCAGACAAATGCCACCAGCATTGCCACCTCATGAAACACCAGCTCCCTCAACAACCTGAACTCTGCCCTAAGATTACTAAAACCCAGATAAACCTGAAGCATTCCTCACTTCTATTTCTTATTAAGTAATAACATAGAAGGGACTTAACCTTGAAGTGCCCCACATCCCTAGCAGCCAAACTGTAAGAATAGTTTGACATTTGCCTCAATTCCCTCATATCCTATGTTTATCATAGGAGCCTCACTTTAACCAGCTCTCTGGTAAATGGGCACATACAACAACCCTCAAAACCATGCATTAAAAATAAATTCCGATAAGCCAAAACTGGTGTTCACTTCATCAAAGCAAGTAAATCCAATAAAATTACTCTCAATTTACCCTGCTTTAGCAGAAGAGAAGTACTCTGTTCCTACATTACTACAGAGTGGGTAAGGAAGAGATAATAGGTCTGATTGCCAAGGACATTCTGGGTATCTCATTAAGGCAGCATTATTTCTTTAAAAGTTTCAGAGCTCACAAATTTTAATAATTCCAGCCTACAACTGATAAATAGAAAAAAATTAATGCAGAATGGTCACATTTCTCAAATGAAAAGTTGTCAGCTTTTTGTAAGGAAGCAATTGTCTTACATAAACAATAGTTTTGAGGAATTTAATGTGAATACAGCATATTTCTCTATACCTTTCTAGCATATCTCTAGTTTCATTCAATAATTTAATTGTAGCAATGTCTCTTTCTGTGAGTCCACAGGCCTAGAAAAACCAAAGACAGACCATTAGCAAGTGCCATCAGCAACCGTAAGAGCAGAAATAGGAAAGTTGAGCACCATGGAATTAAGTAGGATGTACAAGTCAAATATAAAAGAAAATATTGTTGTAAATGAGATTCTTCATAATTTGTGTTTTAAATGGTCACTGTAGGGTTTTAACTAAAAACAAAACTAGCAGGAAATACCAGACTGTTTGAGGAAGTAATTTTTCCAATTCTGACCTTCAATACTGAAACCATCCCTGCGTATCAGATAAAGTTAAAGCAATAAGTGCATGTAGGCACATGCTGAAGCCCAGGTTTCCTCACTATACCACTGTAACACCAAGTGCAGAATGAGTTTTCTCCAGCCTGTGGTGTGGATGGAGACAAACACCTTCACAAAATTCAAGAAATTCGTGTTGCAACTGAGATTAGATACACTTTTCTCTTGACTCCTGTTCATTTTTCAGCCCAGAGGAGTCCAGCACACCATTCTCTTGAGCACCAGCCAAGATGCCCCAACACTCCATGAATATTGCCAGTACACAAGTGTGGATGACACAATTTATCTCAGG